GAAACTAATTCTTTCTATCCTAGTTATTGTTCAAAATGATACATTTAATGAAAGTCTTGCTGAAGAAAAAGAAGGTATTTCAGTTATTACAAAATGTATTTGTGTAAAAACTTTAGATGAGAAAAATTCTGATGATCAAAAACAAGAGATATTTAAAAAAATACAACAATCAGCTGTATTTATTATTTGGAAACTTTCATTTTATGGACCAACAACAAGTACAAAATTAAAATCAAATGATTTATTTATTGAACAAATTCTTATGTTATTAAATGGAAGTTCAAAGAAATCTATACAACATGCAAAGGCAATCATATGGAGATTAGGTAGTGAAGAAATGATACGTTTAGAACAAATACATAAAAAGAAACATCAACGACAAAATCAAGAAGATATAACAGGTGATGATCAATTTCTTTCAACTGATGAATGGGATGAATCAATTCCTTAGGACGTTGTAATTAGTTATAGTAACAATGTTCATGATAAGATTTTAACTATCAAAATATATAATCGTTTATTATCTAGAGGTTATCGGGTATATAGTGAAAAACAAGGAAAACATCGATTAGAATTAATGAAAAAAGCAATAGGAAAAAGAAAACCTATTCTTGCTTGTTTATCACCAGCATATCGTGCATCGAAAGTTTGTATGGCTGAAGTTGAATATGCAAACAAAAATTCAAGTCCAATTATTTCAGTTATTGTAGAAGCAAAATATAAAATACAAGGATGGTTAAAACATATTATTGGTGGAAAAAATCCTATTGATTTAACACAGAAAAATTTTAATGATGAACTTCTTGAAGTATTAGAAGAGATTGAAAAGACAACAAGTTTGGATTAGAAAATTTCTTATAATGAATAATTATGCATTGTAACTAAAGAACATTGAATATATTCAGATCAAAGTAAACGACTTATTGGCAAACTAAAAATTTTAAAATATGAGTTGTTTCAAACGTGCACAAACTGAGATATTCTAATACAAAAGTATTTATGGAGTGTATTGTTCAAATATAAGTTTTTTATTTATGCAAAACCAAGCTTCAGAATTCTTCAGCATAGACTAAGTCTCGTTAGTAACGTCATTCAACATCTTTATAAGATGAGTTCCATGAATAGTCTGTTTAACATAGAATAAAAAAGCATTTGTTTTTGTATGTGAAACATATCGTTTTTTGAATCTAACTCAACGAAATTTACCAAACCTGTGATAGAAACGGGAAAAAAAATCTAGTTGAAATTTTCATATGTTGTTATATTAATATATATTGTAAATACTTTTCAATGTGAATATCTCAGTCTGAGCACATCATATATAGCTCATATTTGAACCATATTATTTGCTCTCGTGATCTTCATTTTGATTCGAATATGTTGCATATTCTTAAGTGAATACACACATCCTTTCATTGTTGTATATTTTTTTGACATATTTTATAAAACATTTTTGGATTTTTTGATGCGAAATTTTAGATAGATTGAACATTCAACTTGTGGCTACAGCCTTTTAATTAAAAAGGTCAGTTTTTATTTTACGAACGTATTTATAGACATTTTTCAATTAGTCTCTAACATTTTAGTTGTAAAAAAGAAAAAAAAAGATTTGTCTTCTTATTTCTATCGATATTAAATTAGTCCATTGTCAATAGTTTCATTTATCATACTGATAAGTTAATTTAGTAATGTTGTGTTCTTTTAGTTATGAGAATAATCAATGGCTTCTGTAACGAAATCGTCCAATACAAGTGATTTCTATTATGCATGTCGCAATGGATTGATAGATAAAGTTCGTGAACAATTACCAACCATGAGTTTAGAAGAAATCGACCAAGTTCAAGCAAATGGTTCTACCGCTCTTCATGCTGCATCTTATTATGGTCATACAGAAATAGTTAAATTATTATTGGATAAAGGTGCGAGTCGTTCAATACAGAATAAACATAAATGTTTACCTTATGATGAAGCAGAAAAAGATGAAATTAAAAAATTATTTGTACGCCAATCAGCAACTCGATTCTCTGATGGATCTGGTCATATTGATTGGATGAAATGTGATACTGCAGCTGAATCTCTTGCAAGTGATTATCGATTTCGTCATAGTGGATTTGGATGGCAAAATAAAAATATTGACCATCGTTTAAAATATATCAAGAGTGAAATGTCTCACACTGAAATAGAACGTATTAGCACATTTATTGATCAAGCAAAAAAAGATCCAATAACTCTTCTTAAAGCATATACGTTCGAATCGGATTTTTATAAGAAATTAAATAAAGATTTAGCAGCAAGACATTTTGATCAAGGTACAAATTTTGGTCTAACATATTTTATTGATTTTTTCTATAATAATCCAGCATTTAAACATCTATCATATAAAGGAAAAGTTTATCGTGGTATGACTATGACACAGGATGATCTTAAACAATATAGTGTTGGAGGAAAAATTATGAGCAAAGCATTTATGTCAACAACAAAAGATCCAAAAATTGCTAAACAATTTGCGTCAAAAGATTTACCTGATCGCAAAAAACAACATGGTGAAAATGTTAAATTATCTGCATTTTGTACATATGAAATAATTAATGATCGAACTGGATTAAACATCGAAGAAATATCAGAGTATAGAGATGAAAGAGAAGTATTAGTGGGTCCATATACAGCTTTTATAATTAAGGCAATACGTGAGATTTCTTCAAATTATGTTGAAATTGATCTTCAAGAATGTGAAAAAATTGATTATCAAGATGATGATGATGATGAATTTGATGATGATTAACCTAACATATTTTCATGGCTTCATCATGATACGCTTTTTAAAGAACATTTTTAAAATAAAAAGCCATGTTGTAACTTTACTTCAGGATGTGAGTGTGAGTTTAGCGAAGATATACGTCAATGCTGACAGCCACGCCTAACTGGTTTAGACTGAAATATCAAGACAATTATTTGAAACATTCTACATTTGTATTAAAAACAACCTAGTTTTAGTTGTGAAAATGAAACTTCTGCAGGACAAGACAACGTGGCAGAAAAATAAAATATACTAATAAACAGGTTTTTAATTTCCAGTAGCTTTTCTAGTATAATTCAGCTATATTCTACACTTGATCAAATATTTTCTGTGCTTGTTTGAGTTTAATACCAGAACAGGCACTGACGTCATCTCAAAGCCAGTGCAAATTTTCTGAATGATTTCCACCTCTTTTCGAACATTAGGGTAATGACTTGATAGTCCAGTAAAATGATTTTAATTTATAGTTACTTTCGAGGGTGTGTGTGTGGGTGTGGGTGTGGGTATGGGTATGGGGGGGGGGGGAGAGTGTGGATGTGGGTTGTAGATATTTAATCTCTTCTAATACTCACACCCTGATTTCGCATATAATAAATAGAAGGAACACTTCTCACAAGATACTATCCATTCTTGCAAGTGGTTGCGTCAACCAATAGAATCGATAGTCTTTGTTTCGCTGTTACGAGAAGATAAATAGCAACATCAATAACTATTCAATCTATTTACAACGTTCGCTTTGATTACTAAGCAAATAAATTCATAAAAAAATCCTACTGAACTATTCTATCATACATGTTGCAATAATCTTTTTCCTTTCTTCGCTCTCTGCTCAGATTCATTTGTTGTCCGTATAGATCTTCTCAATGAGATATAAGTTAATTAACTCAGAAAATTTGATTTTGATGGTAAAAATCAATGAAAGTTTACATACTTTCTTTCGCTCATTTTCGGTTGAGTGTGAGTGTGGGTAGAATGAAGAGCCATACTTACACCCACACACACTCGCACCGCGATAGCCCACACACTGCACCATTAAAATAATAGATGTTCTTTTGCAAAGAGATATAGTGTAAGCATACTTTGTGTAATAGAAATGATATACGGATAGAAAAGAAAAAAATATATTGCCTATAAAATGTTTTCTTGTTGTCTGTTTCATGAGAGAACAAGCAGATGGAAGATATAGAGAACAAGTATCGTTACAGCATCGTAGGTCAACATAGTCACACGTTTCATTTTTGAAAAAAGAAATCCAAATTTTTTTGGCAACAGCTCTCATTGATTTAATTCATCTAAGTGATATTGAAAAGGTAAGCTACAAACATTGAAATATGCTGTTTGTTGTAATACCATTCGAGATAACTATTCGAACTTATGGAAGAAAAAAACAACCTCTAAATAGCAGTATCATTCTCTAGGTTCGCTATCCAGCGTGTAGAAAATAGCAGAAAAGTTTTCCTAATGTTTTTTGATTGATACGTTTAAATTGTGAAATTAGTACAAACAACTATATGATCGAAAATCCTTTACTATTGTGAGAATCATAGTCGACAATCATGTGTTTCTTTTGGTATGAGTCATTTTAAACTACTAATGAGTAAGATGTATAAAACATAAGAAACAAGTCTCGACGATGTCTTCGTAATTAAAAATGATGTTCAATTGTTATTATTGACTCAGAACAGATTTTGAATATATAATAACTTTAAGAGAAAACTACATCAATAGACACAAACATACATGAAATAGAAATGAGTTTTTTTTTTCGTTTTCGTATCTTTTTTAAAGTTATTGTTCCTCTTAAGAAAACTATGTGAGCTTGTTTGTACACCGTTTAGAAATTTGATTAGATTGGTTTTTTTTTTGAGTTCGGTTCTGACCTAGGATGAGTGTGAGTGATAATATTATCTACATTAACATCCGCACCCCTCTTAGACAGTCAAACAATCAATCGGCTTGTTTCATCTACAACAAAACACCATGACACGTGCTTTAAAACTAAACAGTGAAAAACTCGTTACGATATCTTTTGTTGTTTGAGAGTAATAAAAAGAACTTTAAATGGGGAGTTACTTTTCAGACAGCCTGTATATTCTATGACTAGCTTGTAAGAAAAGGACTACAACTCAATCCAATTGGCTATACTAAAAATTGTATTAAGAGCCAAAAAGGAAACAAAATTCTACTGATGATTGAAAGTAAAATTCTGCTCCAATCAAGGGAAATTACAGACATATCTTTGAAATTAAAGTTAGTTCAGTAAAATATTAAATATTATTATTCGTATGTGGACATGTGACATCAGCTCTTAAAAGTTTACTTAGTCTTCAATCCGGTGTTACTGATTCAGTTGAATAATGACGTAGCAACTGCCGATATACTTCGGCAGTTTTTTGACCGTCAGTATATCGGTAGTAGTTCAGGTAGCCTCCCACAGAATAGAAGTCCAGTCTGTCCAAAATGAGCACAAAATAAATAGTTTTAAAAATTGGATAAATTAACCCACTGCTTCTTACTATTTTATTGTATGTGACAGTTTATATGTCTAATTTTCTTTGCGTTGCATATTTTTTGGCAACAGACAAATGAACATCTTTGAAATGTTAATAAATTTTTATGCGTATATGTTAATAAAACATAATTGTCTAAGAACTATTGAATAGAAATTCCAATATGTATAAATTTTGGTAGAAATAAAAACGTCGAAAGCAAAAAATATCGAAAGCATTATTAATGCTCCTTTCATACATACTAACCATATGCAAATGCATGACATAGGTCCTTCTGCAGATTATTCACGCGGTGTTGATAAACGGGTGTACTGAAGCTGCATTAATAGCACTTTCGATATTTTTTACTTTCGGCGTTTTTTATTTCTACCAAATTTATGCCATTTGAAATTAGACATGCAATAATATTGTTCTGTTAGGTTTCTTCCTCTTACAAAATTTTGTATAACTCAAAAACGAAATGTTGAGATTTTTTATTCGCTTAGCAGCAATATGAGCAGATGTTTTATTGAAGAATGAGACTTTTGAGAAAGCTAACTTATGAACAATACGAATTATACGATAACTTATCAGATTTAAAAACAAATGTCAGTGTGAAATGATATCATACATATTTTATATTTTTGAGGTGATAATTAAAATATATTTCGTTTCATATCTGAACTATACATAAGGTACCATGATAGAGTCGTCTAGTAGAACTATATTGATGTATGTCTAATAGAAGTCTCTTTTAAGTTCTTTTGAAAACTCGATATGCCCAATATCAACGTATGATGTTCAACGCGGTTTTTCGTATCCATAGCAAGATCTACGAAATGTTGAGGGTAGATGAGTATGTGAATGTAAAACGTCATGTAAATAGCGCGCTACTTTGCCGATTTGATAATGTATATGCGATAAAGAATTAGTAATCACTTCTTAGTTCCTAAGAAACTATAATAGGTATTCTGAAAGTTGTCAAACAACTTGATAATTTCGATTTATAAATTTTTAAGACCTTTTGTGCCTGTAAGTCAATTAAATCTTAGCTGCAGTATGAAAAAAATTTATCGCAATAAAAGTCCATGTCCAAACTTATAATTTTCAGAACAAATTAGAGGTCCAGTGGGTTTCTATTCTATGGGAGGGTTTATATGTACAATATGAGCAATTTAATTCTCTTATAGAAATTATTTTGCATTCTTGTTTTTGAATGTCTCCGAATTATAAGTTTGTTCAAAAAATATTCGAACTATCATTATATACTTTGTTTTTCTTTTAAATGTCTAATCTGAGATGAATACTATTGTGGATCAGTATCGTGATACAATTGAAGAACAAGCAACAACCATTAGCATTGAACAATTCAAAATATCATTGAATGCATTCGTTTCTGAAATAAAGAAGTCTAATAGTTCTACTGTGGAAATTGCATTGATCAAACAAATTGTTTCCTTATTAACTTATTTTTCATCGAAGAATAATCAACTAATTGATTCTGAACTCATCATACATCCACTTTTCATCATTCTACGTGATTCTGTCCTTATTGATTATCTTCGTCGAAGACAAAATCAACATATTGCATGCGAATTATTATGTGACCTGTCGACATTTTTGGTAAATATTAGTCTTCATATCAATAATACCAATGCCCATCTATTCAAGCAACTTCTTTTTCATCAACCTTTAATCGATGAGCTTACCAATTGTCTCAACGAGATTGGTGACAATGGCAAATACTTAGATGATCCTCTTTTTCTCAATTCAATTCATTGTCTACTAATGACATATCAATATTTTAATAGATTACAAAGTATAATAAATGAATATTCATCGACTACATCATTGGTTTTTGCTGTTATTAAATGTTTATGTTCTTCATATTCTATTGAAATAATAAAAAAATTAGAATATAATTTTTCCCAAAATCTCAATTATGGTCAAATACTTCTTCTTAGTACATGTCCATTATATCTCAAATGGTATCCATCTTATTATGATCCGGAACTTTTTCGTCAAATACCACGAATATTATTAAGTCCATTTACTGAATGGCTAATAAGTTGTCATTCAAATTCAATTATTCATTGTTCTAAGGATGTTGAAAATATCCTACGTCGTTTGAATAATGCTCTTCTTCGTCTCATCGAATGGGAAAATGTTAATATTTCAAATCAAGAATTTTATAATGACTATTGTAAATTAGTTTCTAAATGGTCATCATTGTTATCAGTGATACTTAAGCATTCATCGGATGATTCGAATACTATATCAATAAAAAAAATTATTGCTCATAATTTGTACGATTTTACATTACATACAAATGTACTAGATTTTATGAAAACTATACCAAATTTAATTCCAATGCTACTTCAAATGGCCGATGTTCAAGAAGATGCAACACAATTGCATACTTATCGTTGCTTGGGTAAATTGATGAGTGAAATAGATATTAAAATTATGGCAAATCCGAGTAAGATTACGAGTGTCTATATTAAATATCTTTTGAATACAATTGATGATCCAAAGACAAAAGAACGATTTTATAGTATATTACAAAGTTTGAAAAGTAAGTTATATTTTGTTTGATTTTTACTAATTTCTTCATATAATTGATTGTCTTTAGATTTTGTTCAACATGATCAAGTCAAAATTGAATTAATAAAACAAAATGCACTTCCATTACTTATACGATGTATAATTGAAATTGAATTTGATCCGATTAAAGTCAAACCAATAGTTCTAGAAATTCTTCTTGCACTTTCATTTAATAATGATGCTTTATTGACTTTAAGACAAAATATAAATTTGATGTCAACAATTCGAAATCTTGTCAATAGTACCAATTCGAATAAATCAAATTTACAACGAGCTGCTGAAGCTCTTCTTTGGAAATTAGAAAAAGAAGCTGAAGCTGTTGGTAAATTAACTAATTCAAAATCATATAAATACGATATTATGATAAGTTATTCACATAGTGACCGACAATTATGTTATCAAATTCATGAACGACTTGTTCATGATGGATTTAGTGTTTGGATCGATCGTGATAATATGTATGGAACTACAATGGTTGCTATGGCAGAAGCTATTGAAAATTCTGAATTTGTTCTCATATGTATGTCGGATACATATAAACAAAGTGTCTATTGTCAATCAGAAGCACATTATGCATTTGAACGACGTTGTCATTTGATACCACTTATTATGAAACCTTGTTATAAGCCTGATGGATGGCTCGGTATTATGGTAAGCGGTAGAATTTGGGTAAATTTTACCAAGATCGAATTTACATTGGCCTATGAGAAATTGAAAAAAGAAATAAATCAACATTGTCAACTGAATATGAATTATTCGATGGTAAAATCTAAAGAAAAAAATGATCCAGATATTTCTTCTACGATTTCGCAATCTATTCAAGAGGTTTCGATATTGATTGATAGATCTCAGATCGTGTAAGTTTTGTTTTACAACTCATAACTGAAAAATTTATAGAATAGAAAGATGTTTTCGATAGTGATGAAATTGAAAATGAAGTATTTCAAAATGGACGCAAGAGGTACGAAGATATTATTCAAATAGTATTGTTCTTGGAACATGAGCAGCGTTCATATTTACAGAAAAAAAAACTTTTGATCGATTTTAAGATCATAGAAATAATTGTCGATTATAACTAAATGAGACTGAAATAAAGCTATCAATAACAGTTAGATATCCCTGTTTGTATTTCCTTATTCTATATTATTTCTTTATCCAGTGAACTACCTGATTGCATTACTCAATGTACTAATAAACATGTTCAATCATTTTTTCTAACAAACGGACTTGATAA